ATTATCATTGCACTCTTCCCGGGTGAGGCAGATCAGTCGCCGGCCTCTGGACGGCCGCTCACGGTGGCTCTTGGCAGCTCACACCGGCTGTCAGCCACTCACGGTAGCTTATGGCAGCCAACCACCGGCCCACTGCAGCCTACGCCGTCACTGGCGACTCACAGCAGACCAGCTCCAGGTTGAGCTGTTGTTCAGCATCTTAGCTGTAGAGGGCAGTGTCACTGGCTCTCATGTGGGATCCGAACCAAGGCCCTGCTGCTCAGAGCTGGCGTCCCAAGCCAGCTCTTAACCAATGTGCCACTAGGCCGACCCCTCACCAACACTTCTTATTTTCTGTTTGTTTTATTGTAGCCATCCTAGTGGGTGCAAACTGGTTTCTTATTGTGGTTTTCATTTGTATTTCCTGCTGACTAATGATATTGAGCCTCTTTTCATGGGCCGTTTGTGCATCTCCTTTGGAGAAATGTCTGTCCAAGTTCTTTGCCTATTTTTTAATTGGGTCGTTTGTCTTTTTGTTGTTGAGTTGTCAGAGTTCTTTACGTATGCTGGATACTAGACCTTTATCACATATATGATTTGCAAGTAATTTCTCTCATTCTGGTTTTGTCTTTTTACTTTTTGAGAGTATCCTTTAACGTGCATAGATAATTTTATTGAAATCCAATTTATTTTTTCTTTTGTTGCATGTGCTTTTGGTGTCATATCTAATAAACTGTTGCCAAATTAAGGTCATGAAGGTTTTCCCCCATTTTCTTCAGAGTCTTATAGTTTGAGCTCTTATATTTAGGTCTTTGATCCATTTTTTTTTTTTAAGATTTTTTTAATTGGGGAATTGGGGGGATGGGAACAGTGCTGGGGAATGGGAATTAGGGGAAGGGGAACAGACAAGTTGCTGTCCTTTTATTCTTCAGTCTAGTTGTGGAGGACGTCGCTTCACTGGCCCATGTGGGTATTATCATTGCGCTCTTCCCGGAACAGGCAGTCACTTGCTGACCATTAGATGGTCACTCATGGCGGCTCATGACAGCTCACGAAAGCTCATGCCAGCTGCCGGCCAGCCTCACTGCAGCCTACACCGTCACCGGCGACTCATGACAGCCCAGCTCCAGGTCGAGCTATTGTTCACCATCTTAGCTGTAGAGGGCAGTGTCACTGGCCCTCATGTGGGATCTGAACCAGGGACCTGCTGCTCAGAGCTGGCGTCCCGAGCCAACTCCTCACCAACGTGCCACTGGGCCGGCCCTGACACACGTTTTCCTCCATTGAAAGTCTTGATACCTTGTTGGAAATCAGTCAACCCTAAATGTCTGGGTTCATTTCTGGGCTCTGTTCTTGGGCCAGTACCATGTGTTGTAATCACTGTAGCTTTGTTTAAAGTTCTGATATTGAGTTAGTGGGATTCTTCCAACTCTGGTTTGTTTTTTTTTTAGATTCTTTTGGCAATTTGGAATCCTTTTCAATTTTATATGAATTTTAGGATCAGTTTTCCATTTCTGCAAAAAAGACCATTGGAGTTTTGATAGGGATTGCATGAAATCTGTAGATCTATTTGGAGAGTGTTGTCATTTTAATAACAGTACATCTCCCAGCCCATGAACACAGAACGTCTTTCTGTTGACTTAGATCGTCTTTCATTTCTTTCATCTATGTTTTAGAATTTAAAATTTTTTTATAAATCAGCTATTGTAAAACATCTGTTTCAACTTGCTTCTGAAATGTGTATAAACAAATTGTGGATTTTGAAACTACTAAGAGTATCCTTTAAAAAATTATTTAATTAAGATGTTTTGCATCTTCCATAGTTGAATTAAAGTAGATGGAAGGCATTTTGGTGACTGTTGGGAATGCTTGTGTAATCTCCATTTTAAAAGCAAGTTTTGTCTTTCATAAAACACTTTTTATGCATTAGCTGTAACTTGAGCCATGTCACATTGATATATATTCTATCAATAACAAAAACTAGTTGTAATATTGTGAAGAAATGGAACCATCCTTCCAACTTTGGGTGAGGCAGATTTGTGGGATCCTGCATTACACATTCTTACAGCAAAGTTAACCTGTTTTTACCTGAGGGGGCATGTTTTCCTATAACAATATTGTCTGAAATAGGAACAGTTATACTGACTATTGGATAACATAGGTCGTCCAAAGTGTCTATTTTCAGGAGTGCTGGGTTATTGCCGTTGGATTAAGATTCACGTGTGATTATTTCATATCATAATAGAGCAAAACATTTATTCGGAATGTGGTCACTTGCTGAAATCCAAACGAAGGGCAGTCCCACCCGCTTCCCTCAGGAGTGAGGACTGTTGACAGCCCACTGAGGCCCGAGTTTTTCTGCTGTGACCATGACAACCGCCCCCTCACAAAGGGTCGGGCCCCCCCAAACGTGGGCCTTGGCACAAACATTTGACTTTCTTCGAGGCAATAATATTAAAGCAAATTCCTTGTCTTTGCCAAACAGAAGATTCATTGTGGGAAACTTTTAGCCCCCTTAGTGAGCAATGTTTTCCTTCATTACCCAAATTCCTGGGTTTGCTTTTTCCCCTTCTGAAGCCCAACTCTAATAGGCAACTTTTTAACAGAACTTGCAGTAATTTAAACATGATTGTGGAAAGCCTCTTCCCGCTTTTTGTTTTCCGCGTGCAGCGCAGCTCTTTGGTTCTGACTCCCACGAGGCCTCCTCTGGGCTTTGCCCTGCTGTGCAGTGATGAAAGGGAGGCGCTGCAGCGGTCCCAAGATGAGGGCTGCTGCCCAGGCCTGGGGTCAGCAGCCAGGCGCGTCCCTCTCTCCCTTTGTCCCTCTCTCCCTCTCTCCCTCTGTCCCTCTGTCCCTCTGTCCCTCTCTCCCTCTCTCCCTCTGTCCCTCTGTCCCTCTGTCCCTCTCTCCTTCTCTCCCTCTCTCCCTCTCTCTCTCTCTGTGGGTTTCCTCCTCTGCCTGGTTATCCCTGTGGTTTGTTCAAATCTGGGACCAGCCCGCTGACTGGCCTGGGTTGGCTAAGCTGTAGGATTAATGCTAGAAATTAAGCTGCTACCTTGTGTGAGAAGCCCTGCATGGGCACGGCTCCGGGACAGAGCCTCCGATGACCCGAGTGAGGGCGCGTCACAGTTACACTTCCTTCCTTCTCCGTCCAGCGTGGTTGGCCTGGTGCTCCAGGCGTGGCTGAGGAACTGGACAGCGCTGTCCCTTACCGGGTGTGTCTGCTCGCGTCCCTGGGGACCGACAGCCCCTCCAGGTTGGCTGGACTTTGAGTATCAGAGGGAGTTGCTGGGTTCGCTCTGCACACACCTGAGTGGATTTGTGTGGTGACTTCTCTCAGTGGCACCAAATCCATAACGGTCCGGTTAGCACAGTTCACGGGCCCGCAGCCGCTTCTCCCGGGGAAGTGGGCACTGTGCCCCGAAGCCTCCTAGCCCTTCCCTTTGGGCTGAATGCCTCCTGCACTCTGCCCTGCCCTCAGCCTCTGGACTGAGCTTCTTGGTGTTCATTTCTGCTCCCTGTTCAGAACCGTCCCCCGGCACCCCCCAGCTGGCTATGGCTTTAACCTGACATCAGTGCCGGGGAGCCGCCCATGCAGCCTGTCTGGGCATCTCGCCGCCCTCAGTGCCTCACTCACACGTGTGTGCCCTGCGCCTTGTCTCTGTGAAGCTCCAGTGGCCCGGCCCCCTCTGGCCCCTCTTCTGTGTGTGTCCTCGGTAGTCTCCATTGGCGTGGAAGCACAGGTTACCAGCGAGCTCTTTTCCAACGCAGTTCTAATCTTCTTGAAGGCAAGGATTTTTAAGACAGTTATTACAATATAACATCCATACAGAAATGTATACTTGTTGAAACTGTGCAACTCAGTTAATTCTCACAAACTGAACATGGTGTGTAAGCTTAGCACCCGGTGAAGAGCTGGGCTCACGGGCCCCAGAAGGCCCGGCCCCCTTGAGGTCGCTCCCCTCTCCAGGGCACCCACCCTCCTGACAGCAGGCAGATAGGTTTGCTGCCCTCTGAATCTGTGTCCGTGTCACCACCAAGTGTCTGCCCCTGTGCCTGGCTCCCCTGCTCAGCGTGTGTCTGAGGGTCACCCCCCTGTGTGCGGCGTTGAGTCTGTGTTTGCAGCTTTTCGTTCTTCAGTAGGGTTCATAGGAAGTCAGTCCTGGGGAGCGTGCAGACATGTACTGGGTCCCAGAATGTTCACACGTTCGGACGTAGTGAGCGCTGCAGAGACTGTGCCTTGTCAGTAGGCTAGAATCAGGCAACTGCTCCCAGCAGCCAGTCAGGGAGCCTTCACCAGCCAGTCACACACCTGTGTGTCACCCTGCTGCCTGGGGACGTATATGACTTTAGCTGCAGAGCACCTCACTCAGGGACGTTGTAATTTTGTTTTTTAATAAATACGCCACAGGCTTAGCTTGGTGCTGTTCTCAGTACAGGGCTGCTGGGTTTGTTCTCCAGGGAGCGTTTTCCACTGCGGCATCCTGGTGTCTGCTGGGCCCCCGCGTCTCATCCTCATGCTCACCGTACATGTTGTATTCATTCCTTTCTTGCCCCTAAAGCTGACCTGCTTTCCACCTGGCAGTGCGGCATTGTCTCAGCTTTCCCATAGCATATACTACGCTAAGTTTTATGAAAGAGCACACCACTGAAAACTGAATTACAAAAGAGCTTTTCTTTTTCTTTTTTAAACAGTTGGATATTCTAAAAATCAAGCGATAGCACAGAGCTCAGGATCTTACCTTTGCTTTTTGGATTCGGTAAGTAACTTTGTTTTATTTAAAATGTCTGTATATATGTTGGCTGGATAATTAAATGATCTTACATTTTAGTGTGGTTCTTGAAAGTCATTATTCTAACATATTATGATCAGACTTATTATCATAACACTTAATGAGTTAAGTTTTAGTAAATAGAATTCCTATAAAAAAGCAAAACCACGTAACAGAGAACCATATAAGTAAAAATGAAGATAACCTGGGAAGATGTTGACAAATACAATACTTGAAAGATTGACAGCCTCAGGTATAAATAATTCTTGTAAGTCGATGAGCAAGAAAGAAACGTGGGTGGGTGCAAACAGGACAGGACGGGTTAGAAGCTTCACAACAGTTGAGCCAATGACAGACTTTGTAAAAAGTATAAGTCATTTGCAGCAAAACACAAATTAATTAAATTGGTGAGATGCTACTTTTAAAAAACAGATTAACAAGATTTTCTAAAAATATAGATACTCAGTACTTGGAAAGTGTGAATTGGTACTGCTGATGGCATCATTTTGCGTTTTGCATGAAGAAATGTAAAACTGCGTGTGTGCCCTTGACTCCTAAATTTCACTTCTAGGTGACTCTGAAATTCTGAACGAGATTTGTAGAGGAAGAAGCTTCAGTGTTCTTGATTATGATGAAGAGCGAGAAACAAGTTAGCACGCACTAGTTTATAACAGTGAAGTAAATTGTGTGTCTGTGTCAGTGAATTATGACAGTGTTTATAAATGTGAACTATGTGACAAATGCTCACAGTAGGTGAAGAAAGAGCATGTGGATGCACATACAGTGCGTCCTCAGTGACGGACGTTCTTTCCAGTTACTCTAAAACACACGTTAGGAACACTTCTCTGAGCTCGCTGTGCCCTCGGCCTGGGGAGCAGTGTGCCCAGGCTTCTGTGCATTCCTTGGGGGGCAGCTATTTACCTTCTCAAGGTCAGCTCTGGCTCAGAGTTTCTGCTTGTGCTGAGTTCATCCACGCAGGAACCTTCTCGTCATCTCATACTGACTCACGTTTTCCTGGATGACCAGGAACCTGTGTGCCAGGTCTCAGTGCAGAGAAAATTGGGCGAGATGAGAGCTGTGCGAATAAACAGCGTAACACTTGGTAACAGCTCTGCTCCTGAGAGAACCCCCGGCAGGGGCTGTGCTCTCCCGGCCTGCTGCTGTGGCCTCTTGCATCTCCTCTCTTGCCCTATTTTTCTTAGACTAAAACTCAGATTTCCCAGTCTTCTCATGCAGAACGCTCAGCCATCCCTCTTGTGCCGACATCTGCTTTCAGATCCTGCTCTGGGGCCTGTTTTCACACTCAAATGGTCATTCCAAAATTTTGTAAACAGACAGTTTCCACCAAAGACAGCTGCACCCACCATATTGAAATTGTGCTTTATGGACTTTGCGTGAAGGGGTACAGCGCTTGTCTCTGTTCTCTGTTTCCGATTGCTCTTCCTGGAATGTGTTAGGGTGACCATGTGTTTCTCTCTAATGACAATAATTACAGCGTTTGAGTTGGCCGTTGGGGGCAGATGGCCTCACCCCCGTCTTGGCGGTACTCAGGATGTCCCCAGTATGCACGTTTCAGTTTGGAGGAAATAGTTTCCATCTCAGGTGAGACTTGGAAGAAGAGAAATGCCCAGGTCACCCTCTCCTCTCTGCGGCTCCTCCATACCTCCTGTGCCTTTCTTTTTATTCACTGAAGGGAAGGAAAGAAAAGGAGTAACTGAGATATATGACATCCAAGTAGAAGCATTAGAAAATATGAAGCTCAGATTAGAATGGTGAGAACTGCAGACCCAGGAGTCACCTAAATAAAGCTGGTGACGGAAGTCGGCACAGTCACCGCTGACCACTCCGAGGAGGGGAGAGAAGGGTGGAGAACCCAGGCCTTGGAAATACCCTTAGATTTCAGGGCTGGGAGAGAAAGAGCAGCTTGCACGCCTGGCCTGGTCAGTCTCAGAGTCGGGAGGAGGGAGGTGGCAGGCAGTGCTCAGTCACAGGACCACCTGGAGATTGGGAGACGCCCAGGACAGGGTGTCTTGGTGTCTTAGTTCTGGGCCTGGTGTGACAGGGAGCTGGCAGTGCAGATGTCTGACCGAGGAAGACGTGCCCTTGACACTAGGTGCTGTGGTGTTCTCAGGGGTCAGTTGAATTGCTAAATACAGTTCAGTGAGCTATGAGCAGCACACACAGTGTTTGCGGTAGGGCCGTTGTCCCATGACTGCTGTAGAGTGTCCCATTCCTTCTGAACATGTGTCCTATTTTTTGTTCCATTTTCTAGTTCCCACCGTGATTTCCTTCCCTCTAGTTAATTTGCGAAGTCAGGCTCCGAGGAACACACCCCTGCGTCAGCCAGGTGCTCGGTTCAGGAAAGCCTCCTCTTCGTGGACGCGTGCTCTACTGGATCTGTTTGTTTCTGGGCTCATCACTGCACCTCTGTATTTATTTTGTTAACATTATAAGGACCCAGAACCTGGAGTTTAAAGAGAGCTCGCTGAGTCCTCTGGCTGCATTACCGCCTGCCTCTCCCCCAGTGGCTCCCAGCCACATGCCATGTCACCACCCCACTGAGCTTTCTGTTGTCTAGACAAATCTGAAAAACGTCATTGAAAAAAATTGTACTTGTTTTTAACTCTATAAGAAGAGTATAGGCTGTTATGGAACTTTTAAAACTTCTTTGGTTAGGATTCATCTATTTTGTTGCATGTCATGTAGTTCATTCAGTTTTTTAAAATCGAGGTCAAATTTATATGCAGTGACATGCAGGATTTCAGTGTGAAAACTGTGACCATGAACAGTGGATGCATTTTGACAGGTGCTCACCATGTGCTGACACCCCAATTGGGATCGAGGACTTCTGTCACTCAGACTGTGGCTTCTGGAGAGCAGCTGGCGGGCCTGGCCAGTCACCATGTCCAGGTTTCCCGCTCTCCTGTCCACGCAGGTGGAACCGTAGAGAATGTCCTTGTATTTAGCTCCTCATGCAGCACAGTGATGTTTGTGTGTTGGTTCACACTTGTTTTTTATTTTTATTTATTTATTTATTTAAAGATTTTATTGGAGAATTGGGGGAGGGGAACAGCGCTGGGTAATCGGGGGAAGGGGAACAGACAAGCTGCTGTCCTTTTTGTTCTTCAGTTTAGTTGTGGAGGACGTCACTTCACTGGCCCATGTTGGTATTATCATTGCACACTTCCTGGGTGAGGCAGATCGGTCACCAGCCTCTGGACGGCCGCTCACGGCGGCTCGTGGTAGCTCATGCTGGCTGCTGGCCGCTCATGCTGGCTGCCGGCCACACACATTAGCTTATGGCAGCCCACTGCAGCCTACGCCGTCGCCGGCGGGCAGCCCAGCTCCAAGTTGAGCTGTTGTTCACCATCTTAGCTGTAGAGGGCAGTGTCACTGGCCCGCATGTGGCATCTGAACTGGGGTCCTGCTGCTCAGAGCTGGTGTCCCAAGCCAGCTCTTAACCAATGCGCCACTCGGCTGGCCATGATTTTTTAAAACACATTTTTATCAGCTTTATTGATATGTAAGTCACATAAAATCCACCCAATTATACAATGTAGTGGTTTTGAGTACATTCACCATGTTGTGCAACCATCACCACAGTCTAATTTTAGAACATTTCATCACCACAAAATAAAACCCCATACCCAACAGCAATTACTCCTCACCCCCCCCACCCCAGCCCTGGGCAACCGCTAATCTCTCTGTCTCTACAGATTGTCTGTTCTGGACATTTCACGTAAACGGAATCGCGTAATCTGTGGTTTCACTTGGCACGATGTTTTCAGGGTACATCATGCCGTAGTCGTGTCAGTGCTTCGTTTCTGTATTGTTGTGTAATAGTCTCTTGTATGGAGGGACCACCTTTTGCTTATCCGTTTGGTGACTGTTTCGGTTGTTTCCACTTTCCGGCTGTTACAAGTAATGCTGTGAACATTCCTGTATGTGTGTTTGTGTGGATCAGCGTCTGCCGTTCTCTTAGGTCCGTTCCTGTGAGTGGGATTGCTGGGTCGGTCATACGGTTACTCTATATTTAACATTTTGAGGAACTGTTGGAATGTTTTCTGAGGTGGCTGTACCATCTTACATTCTCACTCACAACCTTTGAGAGCTATTTGATCTTTTGGATACTATCATAAGTGGCATCATTTTAAAAAACTTTGTAGACATAAAGAAATTAACTTTATCAACGTTGTATCCAGAAACCTTGCTAAATTCACTTTTAATTTTAATATTTCTCTGTAGAGTCTCTTGGATTGTTTATGTACACAGTCTTCTTCCCTCTTTCTAATCCTTGTGTCTTGTATTTCTTTTTCTCTACTTAAGTCCGCAGTAATTTGTTAGATAGAAGCCTTGAGAACGGGCTGCCTTGTGTCCTTCCCAATCTCAAAAGAGAGAACGGAAACCTTCCACTGTTCAGTATGTTGTTTACCTTAGATTTTTTCATAAACATCCTTAATAAAATGAGGTACGTTCCCTTTTGAAAGCTGAAGAAGTACGGGCTGCCCTGAAACAGAGAAAGGGTATTGGGGTGGTCGGAAGTGCCTCAGACAAGTGTCATGCTGTTCCCTCTGTTTTAACTGCTCTCTGTGCTGTGAGCCTCATCCCTCTGTGGCTGTCACTCGTCACTTACAGGACCTCGTCGTTCAAGATCTTTCCTTCGGCCGAATGCCAGCCACTCGACCCACAGATCGTGCAGTGTCAGGAAGGATAGCGTGTCTTCAGGGTCGCACTGCTTGGTGCTGGGTGTATGATTTGCCAAGCTTTCCTCCGGCCTATGGCTTGTCTTTTCACTTTCTTATTCAATTTAAGCTTAAGTTAAAGGACACAATTTAAAAATTTTGATGAATACCATTTTGTCAAATTTTTCTTTTTATCACTTGTGCTTTTGTTGTCATATCCAAGAATGCTTTCCTTAATTCAAGGTCACCAAGATTTGCTCCTAAGCCTTTTAAAAACAGTCTTTAGTTTTAGCTTTTGCATTTAGG